AATGCCTATGCAACATTGTTTCGTTTGATGGAAAAATAACCACGAATAATCAGCTAAAATGAATGGGCAATCAAGAGTGTCAGTAGCATTTAACCCTAAGTCGCTGTTTTTCTTGACTGTGATAAGTTTGACACCTCAAAATCTGATGGCCAATTCAAGAAAACAGCAAGTAACGAGAAGTTRAAGAAACTACGTCCAGACTTCAAATTTACTGATCCAAGTATCGGTAAGAATAATACCTACCTGCTTTAAGGAAATAAGGTCACGTGACGAATTGTTAGTACACTTCGTCCACTGAGAGATTCAGTTGAACTGTCGTGAGAATATCCTGTGAAGGGGAGGGGTGGGGCAATACTATTCTGTCTATAATAAATACATGTTTTTTTTCTGTTATATTCCAGCCATCAAAGAAAGCTGCCAGTGGTTCTTGGATAACTATGAAACYTGTCGCAAGTGATTGTGGGATACCACCATATTTATACACGTATAACTCTCTATTGTTCGGATCACAATATAGCCACCATGATAGGCTAAACACATGCCCTTTAGAACTGATCTCTTGGTTCTCTCTTGGTTTGTGCTGGCTTACATTCTTTAAATAATTACCAATAATGTAATGAAATTAGTCACGGTAGACAGATGGAGATGCTGTAGTTAGGAAAGTAGTAGTCACTCGTTAGTCACTTCGTAATGAAAGTTAAACATTAAACAATGATGGTGAAAGTTGTACATTTTGAAAGCGTACTTTCGAGGTGAACTAAATATGGACTTAATTTTATCCCGCTTATTTATCAGCAAGTCAAAAACTAAATAAAAATTACCGGGGAAATGTCATGTTCAGTGTTTTACGTCAGTTAATTATATTCTATTTATCTCCGTTCATCCGTTCTTTTTTCTTTTCGTCCATCGTTTAACCACATCGTTTAACCACTCTAAAAGCCCGGGGAACGTGAAAAAATTATCCATAATTTTACTCGTTCTTTTGATACACTTCTACAACTAGCTGCCGCTTTTTTACCCCTGTTTTCATTGCTACGTCCCTGGGCCCGGTTGTACGAAGCCTGGATAGCGTTATCGTCCGGCGGATAAATCCTTATCCATTGGATAAAGTGATGCTGTTATCCAATGAATTTATCGAAGCGAAGCCTGGATAGCRTTATCGTCCGGCGGATAAATCCTTATCCATTGGATAAAGTGATGCTGTTATCCAATGAATTTATCCACTGGATACGATTTATCCGTCGGATAGCGCTATCCAGGATTCGTACAACCGAGCCCTGATCGAGACAAAAGTCGCGAGAGTGAAGTAAGTAAATACACTGCCGTTAATCAAATAAGTTGTTTGGTACCTTTACACACTCTGGTTTTCTCGTTATATAGAACCATTAATATATTAAACGCACATCAGGTCATTGAATAAACAATCAAGACGATTCCAGCTTAATCGCACCGTCTTCGGGTTTAATACAACCCGCGCATCTGATCAAATCTGTTACTCACTTTCAATTCGCTTCCTCGCCAATTTTTGGAAGAAAAAAATTAAAGGTGAATTTGGAAATACTCTGTTAAACGGACAACAGACATTATACCCCATTATACCCGGTTAATAGACATCCACCGCATTGGTGATCAGCCGAATTGAACTTTGAAGAGTTTTTTCCAAGTGACTCTCTCGAATGATTGATGAAGTGTTATTTTATTTAACTACTACAAGATGAACAAACGTTTCGACATATATTTATAACAAACTACTTTTTTTGAATTCTTCGAAGTGTTAAAAATTTCAGATTATTATAATAACTTTTCATTGTACTCGATTAGCAGTAAGCAAAAGAAGCAAAATAGATATTAGACTAATACACTTTAGTAGACCCTAATTCCATTGTTTTCTTTTGTGTCTATTTGACTATTACACGTTGACTAATAATTTTTATTTCACGGGTTAAATGCCTTCACTCTTAAGTTGGAATTTAGTTGGTCAGAGATACCTGTTGAACAAGTATCAATAAACCATTGAGATACGGTAATCTTAACCTCAATTTATAATTTATAACTGAAAGTTGCCTTGTTTACAGACCTTTCGTTTTAACTCGTGTTACAACAGAAAAATAACATTATTCTGTGAACAAGGTTATAAAAATACGTTTTAGTAAAGTTTCTATACTTGAAAAGGCAACAAGCCAACAAAGCATTATATATATATATGACCTTTGAAATGGCAAACTTTCCGCTTCACACCTGTTGGTCCAAGAGAAAATATTTCTGTAAGCCAAGTCTGAAACCTGTTATTTTATTTTCATAAAAGTTGTGTAATCTTTTATCGTAAGATCATCAAAAGAAGAAGCCTTTGGTTTCAAAACCACGACACACGATCGTACTATCATTTTGAATGAACTTAATAAATTCAAAAAAGCGACGAAGAAAATGAATAAAGTATRATGCAGAATATCTGCACTTTTGGAACAATGCGAGAAAAAAAATATAAACTGCTTTTTGTTGC